TGCCAGTGCCTGCCCTTCCTTTGCATCATGTGTCACATCACTCTGTATGCTACATGAAGTTAAGTTGCAAATTGAAATTAAAAAAAAAAATGTCTGCACCTCTGCAAACTTAAAAAAATTAAAAAATTAAAAAAAAATTAACGATCATATTACCGTTTCATACAACGGTAATATTTATTTATTTATTTATACATTTACTTCAACCTTTTAAGCTACTATAAATATCCAATCTTTTCCAAAATAAATTTCACAAATAATTTTCTTTTAAACTCTTTCAATCTCTCTTAAACTCTCAATCTCTCTCAATTCTCAATTAATTTTGAAGTGTCATCCCTAAGTGACAATTGTAATTGTGCAACAAGAAAATTTTATCAGAAGAAGTTAAATTTTGTATCGCATTCGCTAGTTGGTAACATTAATTAGTTTAATTAAATTTATCGGCTACTCATTTTTTTAATTAATTATTTGTGAATATATATTAATTATTATTTTTTACTCATTGTATTGACATATTATTTAAATTAATTGTTAATTTTTATATGTTGTTTTACTTACATTACTGTGGAGCATAATATTTCTAATGTTTATGTCGATCTTGATACATATACTACACAACATGAATATGTTGATTCTCCTTCTAATATCCCTCTTCTAACAGTTGGATCATCATTTAGGAGCAGAATCAGTAGTGTTTGGGAACATTTTGAAAAAATATATATAAACAATCCTGATTTACATTTAAAGAAAAATATGAATATTGTGTACATTTACTTAGTACTGCATCTGCAGGGGGTATTAGTCATTTAAAAAGGCATGCTAACAAACATTTACAAAGTCAACAACCTGATATTCGAAGTCAAATGCAATTAGGGGTTTCATCAATTGGTAATTTGTAAATATTTTCATATGATCCTATACATACACAAAATTATATAGTTAATTATATTATTAAAAAAGAACAACCTTTTACTAATAGTGAATGCCCCGATTTTACCAAAATGATTCACGAAAGTTTTGCACCGCAATATTAAAATTTTTCAAGAAATATTACTAGAAATAGGATTTTAAAGAAATTTGAGGATGTTAAAAGTGAATTATTTGACATCTTTAAAAATTTGAATGGAATAGTTTGTTTAACATCTGATCTGTGGTCAAATAATGGTTTTAAATATCAATGTATCACTGCATATTTTATTGATAATGATTGGAAATTAAATAATAGAATTATTTCATTTAATTAGTTAAACTTCCATACATTAGTCATTCGCTTGGTGTAGAAATAAGAAATGCATTATATGAATGGACTTTACAAAACAAAATATTTACGATTAATTTAGATAATGCAGTATATTATAATCAAATTGTACCCCATTTAAAATCAACTTTACAATTACTGGTTAATAGTGATTTATTTCATGTTCGTTGTTGTGCCTATATTTTAAATTTGATTGTTAAAGAAGCTATGCATGTATACGAGACTTTTGTACTTGTAATAAAAAATACAGTTGTTACTATTATGTCTTCTGCTAATCGAATTTCGGAATATAGAAAAATTTGTCAATAAGAAAATATGTCATTTAAAAAATTAATTTTAGATATAGATAGTAGGTAGAATTCGACATATAATATGTTAAACATAGCTTGTAAACAAAGAAAAGCAGTAAATTTATTTTTTACAACAACATCAATAGGAAGAGTATTGACTCCAACAGAACTTAATTGGCGCTAAGTAGTCTTATATAAAAAAAAATTTCAAAATTTTTGAAACTTCAACAAAATTATCTTCTTATATGTATATATATTCCTACTTCACCATTTGTTTTACATATGCTAGCAGAAATAATTAAAATTTTCGTAAAATATATGGGTAATAAATATTATGTAACCATTATTACTTCAATAAAAATAAAATTTGATAAATATTTTGATCATTTGCCTTATCTATAAGGTTTAGCTATAATAATTAATCTTAGGTGTAAAGAAATTAGTTTACAAGAATTTTTAGAATGTCTTTTCGTTGATCAAACACAGTTTGCCTCTATTATACAAACATACAACAGATTATTTGAAGAATATAGAGCAGCTACATTTGTAAATACATCTACACACACTACACTAGTCACTACAACAAAAGTAACCTATGGTGACGAAAACTAGTGAAGAAAATAAAATTCGTCACTAAATGAAAATAATTCGTGAGGAATTTTTAAATTTTGTCACATATGATAAAAAAATAAAAATGATAGGTAATAAAAAGTAAAAAAAATATCTTAACATACAAGTGTAAGCAGATTTGAACTACAACTGTATTTAGAAAGCTCGTCAGTGGATGATTCCGATGATTTTGACATGTTGGAATGATGGAAACAAAATAAAACTATATGGCCGATGGTTTCACAGATGACCCATGATATACTAACTGTTCTTATTTTTACAGTTGTTTCGAAAACAGCTTTTAGTATAGGTGGATAGGTGCTGGGTGATTACTGGGGCAGACATTCACCCCAAATGGTTGAGGTACTGATGATATTTAGAAATCATATGCATGCAGTTATAAGAAAGACAAAATTATAGTGAAAATGAGCGAATTCAAAATGATTTGGATGACATATCCTCGGACAATGCGACTGAAATGTCTGTCTCCTCCGATGATTGATCAACAGTTTATTTTTTACTATTTCATTTCATTTTAAATTTTTTTTATTATTAGATTATTGAGGTGGAGTGTAATGCAAATGATTGGTAGGCTTGTAGGTGCCAATCTAGTTGGGATGTACTTGACCTATAGTGATGCAATTGTTTTACTATCATCAATAATCTACACGTATTTTATTTAATAATATCAATTTTTGTAATATTTTATTTCATTTTGAAATAAAAATTATTCATTCAATAAATGTTATATAAATAATTTAATATTGTAATATTGAAAGTTTCATTTTCATATATATAAAATTATTCATTTCGAAAGAAAAAAATTACATAATTACATACTTTTTTTAGTTATAAATTCATAATTAAAAAAATATAAGTCATACATAATTAAATTTAAATATCTCCATGAAACATAACTAAATAAAACATCTCATTAATTTTAACTAAAATACTTTAGTATAATTTTTATTTTATTTTTTATTCCTAATAAATAAATAAAAAAAGGCCCGACTAAGCTTGGACAGTGGCCTAGGCCCAGGCCTTAGGCCCGGTTCTAGGCCTTATTATGAGTAAATTTAGACTTGGGCCCCACTTTGGCCCATGGGCCGACTTGGTTCGATTTGTTAAAAAGGAGAGAGCCCACAAATCCCGTTTAGACCGACCCGAATGTCCGGGCTCGTGCCATTATTACATCCCTAGGCTGTGGCCTCTGTTGGTCTAGTCGTGGGTCCATCCCTGATCATATGCTTCTTTTACTTTTCTCCTCTTCTTCTTGTATTTTTTTTTAATGTATTATTATTATGTATTTATTTGTTTATTGTTACAACAATGATTCATCCCTCCTTTTTCGCCCACTCCTATGACCCCCTCTCTTTCTTATTGGTTAATTTTCTTTTTCTTTTTCTTTTTTTTCCTGCTCCTCCAATTACCACCCGCCATGTGATAAAGGGGGTGAGAGGGTGACTCCCAAAAGGGGATCCCAAGCATTATTCTTATTGTTATTATTATTATTCTTTGTGATGATAAGTAACCTGCAAACCATTTCTGTTTAACTAGCACAAAGCTTAGGCGTGGTTTGGAATGATTTAAATAAGTGTACTTTTTGACTTTTTATGAAATATAGATTACTTACATGTTTCTTCTGTTTTGTCCCAATAATATATATACATTGTTGTAAAAAAAAAGAAAAAATTAAAGCATCTCTACCCGAACATTCCAAAATTATTTGTATGTCAAATTATTTTATTTATTTTTTATTTTTTTTAAGACTTAGGTGAAAAATTGACAAATGTAAATTTAATCTCTCTAAAAATAAATACTTTACTTGATATGTCAAATTTATTATTTTAGTATATTTTTACTTTAAGCTTGTCGGATTCATATCACCATTTTGTAGAAACATACTTTCGCTATAAAAAAAATTAAAGTTTTAGATATTAAAATTTAAAGGTAAAATTATTTTTTAGAGATTAAATATTTTTGTTACGAAAAGTGTCGCTATTATATTTTTAGTAACGAAAATTAGACATTAGTAATAAATTATTATTCTTTTACGACCAAATTCTTTGTCTAAAAAAATAAACAATTTTGAGACGAAATTACTTGAACTCTAAAAGTCTATTTATTATTAACATTTTCAAAAAATTTTCGCTAAAAGTCCTGTTTTTGACTTTTCAAAACGATATTTTAGCGATTACCCTCACGATAATAGGAATTGATCCCTAAATATCTTTTACAACAAATTTTTATTTTTAAAGATCAAAATATTTAGTCTATTAAAAAAAAAAAGAAAAGTAAAAATAGTTAGAGCAACTCCACTAGAAAACCAAATGATAAGAATTGACAACCTGAAAGGGCTCCCCCCGGAACTTCAAAATTTGAGTTGTCATTTGACATGGCATAACTTTGAGTTCACGCCTTTCTATTTTGTTATTTTTATTGAGAATGTAGTCATGCCAAAATTAATAATACAAAAAGTAATAAAGTAATAAATTTGGCATATGTGAAATTGCCATTCAAACTTTCAAAAAAATTTAACATATCAAATTTGAAGATCTAAACAATGGCAAAACAAGAATATTGAGAAAGCTTATACATCAAAGCGATTGTGCTATAATTATATGTATATATGACAACAATTAATAAATAATCAGTTATTTCTTTGTTATCATATTTTCTTTCCAACCAACTGATTGATATTCAACTACCTATCAAAATTATGGAGAAATGCAATGTGTGCATTGTGCTTTTCTCTTGTTTTTCAACTACCATTCTTCACTTCTTTGATCACCATCCATTCTCACTCTCTCTTGAGTATGCTGATTATAATTATTATTTAAAGCAACTCTAATGTCTGAACTTTCATAGGCTCTTTGAGCATTTAATTCTCATCCCCAACTGGGTTACTTTGAGAATCACTAACAAGTCTCTTTCTCTTATTCTCTTTCTGTTCAAATGGCTGACTCAGAACACTCTTCTTCTGATGAGACTTCTTTTGATTCTTCAGGTACATACTCACCTATTTAATGCCTTTTAACCTCTTCTCTTCCTTTTCCTTTTGCATCAAGTCACTCACTTTCACTCAATCTTGTCTCTAAAGCTTACTTCTCTTCAAAACATTCCTTGGTTTTTATATTATGTATATATATATTACAAAGTGAAGGTAGGAGTTGGTGTAGATTGAACCCTGCTCACGCTGAAATGCCTCAAGTAGTTACTAAAAGTTGGGAATTGCTGGGAACGGTTACCAACTCTATCTAACTATTTTAATGAATAATTATTGGATCTAACTGATTCACAGTGTGTGCAAAACTTCTAGTATATATATATATATGGATTTTGTCTCTTGAGTCCTTGCTTTATATGGCCATGCCAAATGGTGCTAGTACTTGTTTTTTTTTTTTTTTTTTTAATTTTTTTTTTTTTTTGGAAAATTTTTTTTTCCCCTCCCTCTAACTGATTCACAGTGTGTGCAAAACTTCTAGTATATATATATATGGATTTTGTCTCTTGAGTCCTTGCTTTATATGGCCATGCCAAATGGTGCTAGTACTTGTTTTTTTTTTTTTTTTTTTTAACTTCTTATTTTTTACTGAGAATGTTCTGTTTCACTCTCCTCATCTTGTGCCAAACTCGTTCTACTTTTGGGGGACTTGGAACTGCAACATAAAAGCACAAGGCATGCTGACTTGTTTTCTTTTCACCTTCTTTTATAACTCTAATATTAATTATTGGTTTTAGAGGAAACAATTTTGTATACCAATAGATATCAAGTTGCACTACTCTTTCACCAATCACAAATATATATGTCCCAAGTGTTCCTTAAACACTAAACAATATGGCTGATATTCTACTGTTTTTCATCAATCATAAGAGTGAAAAGGTACCACATAGATATACCCTATCCACATACTCATTTTAGAGAGTAAGATTCTCACTCAATGCCTTGCTTCTTTATGCACTTGGCTGTTTGTTTCAGAGGAAAGTAGTAAAAAAACCGAGCATGAATTCTCCGAAGACGAGGAAACACTGATCATTAGGATGTACAATTTGGTTGGGGAGAGGTTAGCTCTTTTTTTTTTCAATTTTTTTTCATGAACTCTTTCAAATCTTCAACAATAATCATGATTCAGGTGGTCTCTAATTGCTGGAAGAATCCCAGGAAGGACGGCAGAGGAAATCGAGAAGTACTGGAACTCCAGATACTCAACAAGTGAATGAAATTTCATGCAACTCACTACTCAGTTGTGTTAGTTTTCTAAGTGAAACCTAGTGATTTTTGGTGGAGAGAGAGAGACAGAGAGAGAAATATGATCTGGGTTTCATCAATGTCACTTGTCTCTTTATGTGTGATATGTTTTTAAGGTTTGTGAGGAGTTTAATTAATTGTTCTTCGTCGTGATATTCCTATGTGAAAGCATATATGTATATGCCTCACTTTCTTATATAAATTTTTCTGTCTGCTTTCTGTTTGTTTCCATTTTTGTTGTCTTTCTGAGCTTTTTACCAAACTGAAATGTATGTTGAAAACAAAATTTTTAAACTCTAGACACTCCCCACTTTTAAACTTATTTCACAAACACTTTGTTTGTTTTAAAAACATAACTTCAAGAATAAAGTTGGAACTTGTTAGAATATATTTTGAAAACATGACTTCAAGAGTTTGAATTGAATTTTTAAAACGACTTGATTTTCATAGCTCTTTCTTTTGGAGCAGCTTGAAAGTATCATTTCCTAATTTTTAGATAATCAATTTTTTTTTTTTCAACTTATTAAAACTATTTTTTTTAAAAAATACAAGAAGAAATCACACCAAACCGTCTAACACGTTCTTAAAATTTAGAAAATTATAAACAATTCATATATACTACAAACAATCCTTTAATATAAACAATCGAAACTTTGGCCTATGGAAAAACAATACAAGATTTTTATCTTCCCTTTTTCCCCTAAAAAATAATACAAAGTAATAATAATAATAAAAAAAATATTTTTTATATTTTGTGATTAAAATAAAGCTTTTAGGTTTTTGTCCACCATGAACGAAAACAGAAGAAGTTTGTTTCTGGTGGTCTTTAAGCTGTTTATGTAACTGTTTTCGTTTTCTTCTTACTATCTGTCTCTATGCATTTTTTTCCACAATACTTTAATACAAACGGGATTTTAGCCCAATTTAGGCTAAAATCCACAAAAAAAAAACACAAATTAGGTCAAAATAGCTAATAAGACGGTTAATGAGTCTAACGTTACTTTTTAGTCTAGAAATCATAGGGAATTATGTTCTTATAAATGATAAGGGTTGTGTGCAAATAGGTTAAACCATGAGGGGTGTTTGGGAAGAGGTTTTTTAATTTTTATTTTTTGAGTTAAAATAGTATTGAGAAGGGAATTTATGCCGAACAAATGGACCAAGCTTTTGTTTTGGACCGAACAACCCGATTTGCTCATCTAAGATGTTGGATCATGCTGGGCGGTAAACGTGGATTGCGGTCAGAGCTAAGCACGCACCTTGGTGATGGGTCAGGCTAGGTTAGAATTAGGTCGTCAACATAGACCGCGCTAAATAGGGAATAAGCCACAAGTATGAACTAGGCTAGGCCAAGATGAGATCGCTGCCTGAGACCGAGTTAAAGCTCCCAACCAAGCTAACGCGAGAGCTACGCAGATGGCGAACAGTGAGGGTCTTAGCCGAGCTTGGCTGAGTTGGGGGACCAGTGTGGTTGTGAGGGGCATCGACTGGTCTAAGAGCAGAATGCCCTTGTGGGATTGATCGAGTCTCGAAGTTGGCCTAATTCAGCTTGGCGCAAGGTTGTCCTAAGCTATAGCACTTTGAGAATGACACAAGTGATTGTTCAGTTGGGGTGCTCCACGTGGTCCAATGGCATAAGGAGAGGAATCCACTCTAAGTGCGCGTTAATATCGTTTGGCGGTTTGACTAATATTGTTTGGCAATATTGACGTGTACATGTGTAAGAAAATGAGAGGACAGTACAGCTACGCATCCAATAAAGAGCGACAAAAATAGTGCGAGCACAATCTTAGATTGCAAGGCCAGCCTAGATAAATGACGCAATTAGACTCTAAGAAGGATAAACAAACATTGGCTACACTCTCACTCTCTCTCCATTCCTTCTTCTTCAAGTGATCGTCGAAGGGATTTTTCGACAAACCACTCCCGAGGTAGCTCACTATTGTTTTGTTTGCAGTAAGCAAGACGCCATTCGAAGCAAGACAAGCTTGGTAGCAAAGTGTATGGACGACGATGAATATTTTTTTCTCGTACAAGCATTAAAAGATAAAATAAGTTAAAATAATTAATAAGATAAAATGTCACATTAAATTTATAATCATTTTATTTTTTTCTCTCATAAATATTACATCCATTGATAAAAAAATCTAACTCTCTTTTTAAATATAACTATTTTAATCAATTTAAAATAATCCACTACTAAAACAGCTTATTAAAATACACAACTACGCAAGGAGCCAAATAAACAGACAGCATAAAAACACCGCCTCACATATTTCTGGTGGTCCATGAGCTGTTGACGTGAGTGTTTTTGTTTTCTTCTTCCTATTTATCTCTATGCACTACTTCTTTTTATTTTTTTATTTTTTTTTGAGGACTTTTCTACACCACTGTAATACAAACAAACAAATGAACAGACAGAGTGACAGACACAGCACGAAAACACTGCCTAACAGCATATCCAGTGGATTAGTTAATGAACTTGTTTGGAAAAGGCTAAAAATTGATTTTTTTAAGTTAAAATTTACAAAAAAATAAAAAATAAAATAAAATAAAATAATTAATAAAACAAAATATCATATCAAATTCATAATTATTTTATTTTTTTTTCACAAATATCACATTTAAATATAAAAAAATCCAACCATCTTTCTAAACATAAATTTTTTTACCTACTAAAATAATTAAAAATTAAAATAACATACTAAAATAACCAACTTCACAAATAACGCCCGTGAAGTCTAACAATATAATAAATAGAATGTTTTGCACAATGTTATAATAATGATGATAATAAATAATAATATATAAAATTAAAGATTATAATACATACTTCTTAAAAGATATGTATTATATGCACCTCATGACTATAAAAAAATGACATAATTTTATATTTTTTGAGTTATAATTTTTTTTTAAAATTCATAACTAAATACAAAAAAATCATAACTAAATATTTTAAAATAATATCACAATTAAATAAAAAAATTAGTTATAACTAAAGAAGAAAATGACATGACTACGAGTGCATATGGTGTGAGGGTATGTATAATAGAATTCTTCATAATAAAAATCAAGTGTTGAAAAATGTAACTGTGAGACTTTAGGAGTCACATTGTTATTGTACTAAAATTGCTTTTCCTCCACTCGTGAAAGTACAATTGAAGTGAAGTAATTTTAAGATAAAATCCATGTCGTTCACACAGGGCCTACCTTGTACTAAGTCCACTAAGGCTTGTACCTTAGGTCCAAAATTTGGTAGTATATTTAAAATTTAAATATTGGGTCCAATTAAGTTCCATATTAACAGGTTTCAAAAAATTCTATTGGGTCCAATTAAAAAACAAAACATTTAGTCACAAATTTGGTTGGGCCCAATTAAAAAAAATAAATTAAAACATATACAAATATACTTGGCCCAAATAATTGAATAAATAAATTTGACTTAATTTTTCTCTCTCATAAACTATCAGATTTTAATGGATAAATAATTTTAAGCTATGTCTTTATCATATTTTAATTGAATAAAGTTTCCTTAATTTTTTTGCCCTAATTTTGTTTCATTCAATTGTGTTCCATAATTTCTTTACTATAAAATATCAGATAGTGAGTGAATTGTGTATTTTGTGTGAAAAATTAATTATATAGTCATGTTTCCTTTTTCATTTATGTTTGTTTTACACTGCTAGTGAAGCAAAATTATTATCCCACTCTTCACTTTAGCACAATGTGAAATCATTTATGTTTGCTTCACACTGCTACAACATTTCATTAATTAGATTTGTTGATTGATTAGTTTGTTTGTTGATTTCAACTATACACTTTTGGTAACCTTTTTTTTTGGCACTCTAGAATGAATATATTTAATATCTATTTTGGTATCAATCAGCCGTATAGTGGTACCAAACAGTGTGATTTTTTCTATTTATTTATGAATATAGGCCCCATTTGTTGGTTTTTGCCTTAGACCCCTAAAAACTCAGGACCAGTCCTATACTCACAACATTCCTCATCTAGTGTTCACGACCACCAAAAAGTTTGAAACAAGTCACGAGCTAAAATTACTCAAAATATCAATATAAAATATAAAGAGTTCTCATAAAATCTTCCATCTCACACATCATCTTTTCTATCTTCTTCTCCACACAAAAAACCCTTCTCTCAATTTTTACACAACTCATATAAGTATATATTGATAGATGAAAGAATTAAAATTCTATTTATATATATATATATATATATATTAAACATGACATAAGTGCAATAATATTATCTAATAAAACTCTTGTAATGGAAATAATTAAAATTTTAATTTATGTTGTAATGGTCAAACAAATTAAATAGTCAGAATAATAATCCTATTTTTATTAAGAAAATTTAACAATCTCCCACTTTTAATAAAAATAATTTTTTTAATATTTTCACAAAATTTATGATATAGCCCCACATTTTAAAACTACAACTTGAAAACAATATAAACAAAATATATAATATGGGGCAACATATACTGTGTAATAGGTGTACGTATCTTCTGGATTTGAACCTTACTTAGTGTTAACAATTTTCCTTCGAAGAATCATATTGAACTAAATCTTAAACTAGATTCTTTGGACCGAAGGTTAACATGTCACACACACAACACTAGTATTGGACAATAGTTCGCGGGTTAGTGTTTTTAATAGCCATGCATTCTGGTATTGATTTTCATGAAATTTTTTGAGACTAGCCCACGTCCCACAATCGTAGTCTCATGACGGTTCCCATTTAGTAGAATCCTCTAAAGATACAATGACAGAATGTACCTTGCAAGAGATTGCTTGCCTTGGATTCATTCAAGGTAAACCCCTTCCTAACCAATCACTCATCAGCATTGTTGCCTTAAGGATGGGTAGGAGAACCACTCTTGTGGTGTCTCTTACAATATGAAGTGTTGCAATCAAGGCACGCCATAAGGATTGTTTCTCCCCCACTAAACCTCCTGCACAGGGTTGCCAATCATAGAGGTTGAGTTACTTCTTTAGAGCTTTGCCCATCCCCATCAACAAGTAAATATGGATCTAGGCTCACTAGTCCCGAGTCAATAATTCCTCAAGTTTATTAAGAGGGAGAATTATACTGACGGTTCATATAATTTGGAGTTTATATCACTTTGATCCTTAACTTTTTAATTGTAACACATTTGATTCTAAATTTTAAATCTTGTTTCAAATAAGGACAATTGAAGATATCAT